TCTATGCTGCCCCCCTGGGGAAAAGAGTTGCCCCCCAGAGGTAATGAGCTGCCCCCCCCGGGAGTAACGAGCTTCACCCCCCCGGGAGGAATGAGCTGCCCCCCCTGGGGAAACGGGGGGGTTGGGGCTTCTCTTGGTCCCGTCTCCCCGTCTTGTGGGGAGTGGGTGCCCCCGGGCTTAGGGTGAAACTGGGCAGGCGGTTCCTTAGAGTCACAGACTGGTTTGGGTGGGAAGGGACCATAAAGCCCCCCCTCAGTGTCCCCCCCCTGCCCCGGGCAGGGCCACCTCCCACCAGACCAGGTTGCCCCAAGCCCCCTCCAACCTGGCCTTGAACCCCTCCAGGGATGGGGCAGCCACAGCTTCTCTGGCCAGCCTGGGCCAGGCTCTCACCACCCTCACACCAAACAAGTTCTTCCCCACATCTCAGCTCCATCTCCCCTCTTTCAGTCTCAAACCCTTCCCCCTCGTCCCATCACTCCTCTCCCTGATCCAGAGTCCCCCCCATCTCTCCTGGAGCCCCTTGAGGGACTGGAAGGGGCTCCAAGGTCTCCCCGGAGCCTTCTCTTCTCCAGGCTGAACCCCCCTAACTCTCTCAGCCCCCCCTCCCAGCAGAGGGGCTCCAGCCCTCCCAGCATCTCCGGGGCCTCCTCTGGCCCCGCTCCAACAGCTCCGTGTCCTTGGGATCCTGGTGGGCATCCCAAGCCCAGGGGGGTGGGGGGGCTTTTTTGGGGTCCGAGAGCCGTGTCTTGGTCATACCCAGCCCTTGTTGGGCTGTGAGAGCCCCCCCCTTGCACCCTCAGGTGTGGGTGAGCCCCCCCATCCCTCGTTGTGTCCCAAGGAGTGGGTGCAGCTGAGAAACTGGTTAATTTTTTACTTTAAAACAAAGCAAAAAGAGTGTTTGGGTTTTTATTTCTCCTTAAAACCACCCCCCTGCTCCCCTCAGAGCGGATTTTCCAGGGGGGGTGGGCAGGCAGGTGAGACTTTGGCCCCACGCTGGGCTGTTATTCCACCAATTAGCTTCACTAATCGCTAATTGCTAACGATGGGAGCGGGGAGGAGCCGGAACACGTTACATCCCCCCTGTATTTTTATTTCCCCCCCACCATTACCCCCCCGGGGTTTGGCACCGAGCTGTGCTTTCTCCTAATAAATTCTGCCACCTTTTCCTGCAGTTTTTGCCCAACAAAATCGGTGCTTTCGCTTGCCCAGCTGGAAATGCCTCCTGTGCTCTCAATTACAACCCGGGTAAGATGATTTTGGACCTGGAATGTCCCAATTTTGGTTATTTCCTTCCCCCCGCCCCCCCCAGCAGCAGCCTGGGAGGAAGATGTGGCTCTTTCCTGATTGCTAATGTGTTTTTTTTCTCTTCCCTCCC